GTTTCAGGTGCTAAAACATTATTTTCGTAAGAATAATAATGATATAGTACAGTGGGGTGGTTCGGTAAAGCAAAAATCGGACTTTTTTTCTAGCATCCATGGGGTTCGGAACCAAGCTTTTAAAAGCCGTACAATACGCTCTGGCTTTGAAAGATGCGGTATCTATCCTTTAAATGCAGATGCTGCTTTAGAGAAGCTAGGTTGGAATGACGATCCTAATCTTCCAGAGTCAGTTTTGGAGATATGGGATGGGGATGGTGATACCCCCCCCCCGGCGTCAAGCTCTATACCAAATTCACCGGTAAAAGACGCTAAAGACTTCAGGAAATACGCCAAAAAAATCAAGAGAAAACTTGACGATATTGGAGATGAGATTGACTCTATTTCTCCTAAGCTACGCCGTCAAATAGCTCCATTTTTAGCTGGTGGGCTTGCTTTAGTGGAAGCTGGTGCTCAGTATGCGCAGGATAACATCAACATTTTGGACCTAAAGCGCCGGAAGGATGCCAATAAAACCAAGCGAAGGGTTAACATGGGTGGCCCTCTAAGCTCTTTAAATGCAAAAAGGCATATAAAAGTGAGAGATGGCCCAGAGAGGAAGAGATTAATCCAGCAAGCTAAAAAGAAGTGGATTGCGGCTTCTACTTCAGAAGCCGCTTTCTCAATGGAGAAGTTAAAACCAGGGGATATTAATACGGGAGAAGAAAGTGCGGAAGCAGACGATTCTGTAAATATTAAATTCACCATAGATACTATAGGGGAAGGGTGCTAAATGTCATGTTTAAAATGGTGGGTAGATGAAGTTTTGCATTAGACTAGTTTTTGCATTAGACCAGTGCGGCCCAATACCCGCTGGGTGTTGGGCCGTGCGATGGGCCGAGTACTCATGTATTCTGCTTCATCTCTCGTTTAGGTATAATTCTTATAGGTATATCGAAAGAGCATTAGTATAACTCTTATTCTACGAGCTTATATCACTAAATTCCGTCTATTCTATCACTAAAAGACATATGTTATTATTCTGGGAGTTTTAAATCCTTCGATTGTAACGGCGTTTGGGCATATTCCCGTGGGCGTGCCCACGGGCATGCCCATGGACAAAAGACCCTTATAGCCAATCAGCTTATAAAGGATAGTGGGTCTACACTTGATTTATGATATATCAGATCTATATAAGCACCCCTTTTACTAGTAACCCCCGTTTCACACGGTCGCAAGTTGCCTAATGTAAGTTAATATCACACACTCTCCCTTAGTCTTTACACTGTCCCTTACATCATATTAACTATGTCCCAACCTAGTGCCTATACCGTAGGGCCCTCTTCGCTTCCTCCGAGCTCCCAACCAGACCTCTCCTACGTCGACGATATATTTGATCCCAACCTTAATCCAAATATTGATTCCAGTCTCTTTAACAGCCAACAGACTTCTATATCAGTGATAGAGTCTGACTTCACTCAACCGGCCCTTCTTGATTGCTCCCTTAAACGTGTGGGACCCGATCGGAGAAAGCAGTTTATCCTCTACGACGCGATGAATAACACGTCTAAAGCAAAGTTTATCGAGTGGTGGCGCACAACAGTACGCGGCAGCGATACTGAGACACAACAAAGGCTACGATGGGATGCAAAACACACATCGGATGTCTGGGAGAACTTCGACCAGGTAGCACATCATGTTACAGGCGAACCTTTGGTTATATGTCGGACTTGTGGGGCCACACTGCCTCATCCAAGCGCGAAGCAAAGCGGCACTAACACACTAAAGCGGCATATGACCTCAGGTAAATGCCAAAAGGGTGGTAAAAGCAAGCCTACACAACGGTCAATTAAAGAGACCATACAGCATATATCGGTAAGTCTTATATGATTATACCCTTCAAGATAACTAAAACTACTATACATTAGGCACTAGAGTCTTCTCATATCTCAAAATTCTCGAATGATGAATGGGAAAGAGAGCAGATTGAATGTCTTACCAGTCTGAACCTACCTTTCCGGATACTTGAGAGGAAGCAGTTTGCTTCCTTGATTCGAATGGCACAAAAGGCTCCAGCTGAACCTACTTCACTCCATCCTCGCACTGCTCAACGCCGGCTAAAGAAATTGGTCGATGAGGAGCAGCATACAATTCTCGCTACCTTACCAAAAGATGCGAAGCTCTCAATCGCCTTTGACTGCTGGACATCGCCTTTTCAGCAAGCATTTATAGCGATCACAGGGTACTTTATCGACCGAGACTGGAATTACCGTGAGCTCATACTTGGTTTCGAACCACTTGATGGGGCGCATTCTGGTGTGAATCTAAGTGAAGTGCTTATGGAGATCTTTAAGAAGCTTGATATTACTGATCGCGTGTTAGCGATTACATCAGATAACGCATCAAATAACACAACTTTAGTACAGGCAGTTCAAGACTCCATTGACTCCCTTGAACTATCGAATAGCCCAGTGGTTGTTCGAATCCCTTGTCTTGCACATATTATCTAGCTAAGCCTTCGCGAGCTACTTGGATTAGTGAAGGCCGACCCCCAGAACGATATCATAGATCGGAATGTTTCTGATATCCAAGCCCAAGCCCAAGCTCGATCGCTCCGTGCTTCCCAGAGTGAACAAGTCATTGTACAAACCCTTGTTAAGGTAAGTATATTACTTTATTTAATATTTAACATACCTAATAAATATATAGATTCGAGGGCTTGCTGTGTTCATTAATGCAAGCCCCCAACGTCGCGATGATTTCTTCCATCTCCAGACCAATGGAACGAAACTTGCGCCTATCCAAGATGTCCGCACACGTTGGAATTCAACCTTCCTAATGCTTCGTCGTGCGAAATGCCTTAGCAAGCCCTGCGATGAATACTGTGACAACATTGGGACCCAGAAATACAAATTCAGTAAGGAAGAATGGCGGCAGGTCGACTACCTTCTGTATATTACGGAGCCTTTCTACCGCTTTACCACAGTGCTTTCAAAGACCAAAGAAATATAGGTACATCATGTTTTTGGTATTTATAACGCCCTCTTCGAGCACTTCGAGGAATCGATCGCACGACTCACTCCGAAAACCATACCTTGGAAGAAGGCGATGCTACAAGCCCTCAATGCTGGGATGTTGAAACTTTCATCTTTCTACATAAAGACGAAAGAGATCCATGGTAGTCTCTACGCGATTGGAACAATTCTTGCATCCTAGCATAAGCTCCACTTCTTCTCAAGTAAGGCGTAGGGTACGTCAGAGAACGACACAAACTGGAGTGATCAGTATAAGGAAACGCTTCGCCAGTTCGTAGCTCCTTACGCCCAAAGACACACCCAGACACAGTCCCTACGAGGAGAGCAACCCCCCCCCCCCCCCGGCGTCACTCAGCCAGTACAAGTGACCTAGACGCTCTCCTCGACCTTCGGCCTCACATTCACTCCGATCTATCAACATCAGAGCACGAACTCGCTAGATACCTTGAAAAGCGTATGTTACATTCACTATTATTACGAGCGGGAATACTTATACCTATTATAGCAAGGAGAAAAGTCGATCCTTTACACTTCTGGAAGGAATATGAGAATGAATTCCCGATTCTCTCAAGTGTTGCTCGCGACATTCTCTCTATTCCTACAACAGGCGCTGGAGTTGAACGTCTTTTCAATTCAGCACGGGATGTCTGCCACTACCGGCGTGGGCGGCTGAGTGCGAAGACAGTCCAGGATATCATGATGTTCCGGTGTAGAACCCAGTTCGACATTGAAATGGAAGAACTACCCGATGAGGATACGTCCTTAGATTCTATGCAAGAAGCAGATGAACAGAGAGAGGCTGAGCTTACATCTGACATACCTGAACCAATCAGCGATGGCGAGGATTCCGAGTATAATGATCCTGTCGGACTGATCGAGCACGAGTTTGCAATGGCGAGTCAGCTTCCTGTCCTTCATAGTGCTGAGTGCGCGGAAAAACGACAGAGAAGTGAGCTAGTCGACAGCGAAGATGAGAGCAGTCCTCATCTCCCTCTTTATGGAGATGAGGGTGGCACTCAAAGGCGCCCTGGGTTAAGAGAAGCCAGGAAGCGTGGCAAACCTAGTGATGATCAATTTGTATCGTATTAGTGTGAATATATGTCTATAATAAATGCCTATTAATGTTCATGATAAATGCCTGTTAAACCTACTGTATGCCAATGTCACTGCTGTCTACATGTAATCAAATTACTTAGAAATACAGAGCTAAAATGCACAAATAATGCAAGTCACGAGGTCAAGGAATTCTGCTTACTAAAAAGGCCCATGGGCGATGTCGCAGTCTAGTCCACTGACTGTACGCTGGGAAATCGCATGGGTAGCGGACAGGTATCCTAATACAGACTAGTGCTCCTTAGGTGGGGCCGGCGAGATAAAGAGAGAGAGAGAGAGAGAGAGAAGAGTTAAAACTGATTTCGAATATCACTGTACTGCGACAGTATGATACAATACCGCGGTGCCGGTAATACTTTGATCCGCTTAGTCCCAAAAATGGCGACTAGCTCTCGGTTCGGAAATACGGCTTTTCCGAACAAAAAATAACTGCGTGAGTATTCCCACAGCGATTCAGGGTCCTTTCTATCATCTTTCAGGTTTACGCAGTGACTACCGAATCTTTCTATATCCATCAAAAACCCAAAAACCCGAGACCTATCTAAATCATTCGTGTCTTTTGACTGTACCAGCTGGTCTGCCAGACCAGGATCCTAACCAATATCCTGGCAACATGCTGTGCTCGGCCTAATATGGCATAGCGTGGTCGCGTGACAGACGATTAAAGAGGGGGCTTATTCCCTGTTGTCGCGTTCTCTTAAACTTTCCTTAACTTCCATAGAAGACCTTACTTTCTGGAAACCCTTTTCGTTCCTACAGGCAGGCATAGACTTTCGAAGTGTGGTAAGTCACTCGAAGTTTGCGAGATGTGATGCAGTGTGGTTCACTTTAATAACGTTTGAAGGGAACTTGATTCACGGGTCTACGTTCGTGATGTCGGCCGAAGCACGCAGTCCGTATATGGTGATGCATGATCGGTGGAAGGCGTTTCAGGACGAATCGTCGGGGACAATCCGTCAGTTCCAGCATTTGGAACGTACTGGAACGCATCGGGGGTATCAGCGTGACACATATATGTCTTTGTTAAAGCGGCATAAGGACATCTTAGAAGAGCAGCGCAGTATGTCTTTCTAATTTGGGTCAAACGCACACTAATTTTTGTAGATTACGTGACTAGCGTTAAGGAGTCCGGCAGTGACGCGTGTGATTTGTTTAAGTCGGTTGTTGGGGGGTACACTGTGGACGATCAATATCGTTTGTTGACATTGTCGATCGAAAATGCTGAAAGCAACATAAGGCTGTGGAGTGATTAAAGTGTTGATCTTTGGTATAGTATGGTTTTGTATTTGTTTACTGGGCTTTTTTGAATAGGTGGCTTCGGTCCGCTTCTAGCATCCTTTCCCCGTCGTCTTCTTGTCATTGCAATGCTACAGCAAGTTCTAGTCTATAATATTCTATCTTACAGGAATGAGTTCAGTAACACTGGGAATAATTGCTACTGCTTTATATTTACTTTCTGTTTCAGCGAAATCGATATGGGTATCATCGTATGATTTGGCACATCGTTTTCGATAACTCACGGGCATGTTTATTCATACGTGTGGAGAGCTAAATCTTATTTTGAATGTTAAGTTACTCTAGTACTTAAAGAACACAAAGGACTGTCGAATTCATTTAAATTGAAGAATGGAGCAAATACTCCTCTATACCCCTCAACGGTTCCTGGTGACGGTTTCCCTCTGTATGAGGCGGAGTGTGACTCGTTTCACTCGTTGAAGCAGATTTCTTCCTCTTCTTCGCCTCTCGAGCGGCTTCTTTTTCTTCACGCTTCCTTTTTGCGACTGCAATGTCCTCAAAAGTCATGATCTTAGTCTTCCCGACCACCGTCGACTTTGTACGCTAGCGACTTTTCTTCTCGTTATTCTGCTGAAACAAGTCTTGAGTCTGCCGCAGAAGTAGTGAACGCTCCGCGAATGCTCTTTCCGTCGCATTTAGTATCTTCTGTAGTCAAAGCTTACACCCTTCGTCCAGTGGATGTGTATCCTGCTCAACTTTGCTACGTAGCATGGCTAGCTTGTGGGGACTGACTGGTGTGTCAGGGAGGTCATTTGCAATATCCGAGAGAGTATCACAGGTCTGTAATTGTTCAGCCTCGGCGGGACGTTTTTGGATATCTCTCAGGACCCTCTCGGGATTAAAGGGCCTCAGACCGGTTTTGGACCATCCTGAGAGTGTATTTCGGGTGGTAAATGCCTGACAGCGAGCACGGCTGTACAGACACGTAAAATGCTGCTTCCCAATAGTGTTAGACCCGCACCGCTCCAACGACTCAGCCCGTTCCCGGTACGAAGTTTTCAGTGATGAGAGAACGCCAACATCGCAGGGCTGAAGTTTGTGTGACGTATGAGACGGCAATCGACCATTTGGGAAAACCTGACTTGACCTAACAACACCACCGCATCTTATGAGGGAAATTATTTCGAGACTGTTGGAATAGATACTGAAGATTCCGTCCGTTTTATCAGAATTTTTAATTTCTCCGTGGTTTATATAATATACTGCATTGAAGTTGGCCATTTTTCGACGACATGGCCCAAATGGCTTACTTAATATGGAGCCCGATTTTTGTCCTCAAAACTAAGCCCCTTTCGAATTAAATCCTCAAAACTAAACCCTTTCTGAAAATCAAACCCACCCTAAGCCTATTTGGGGCTGATGTCTCCTTCCCTATGTGATAGATCTAAAGACAAAACCGACAGGCATCTCGTATCCCCTATTCTGTCTATTTTGTGACGCCATACTCCCCTCCGTTGTTCATTTGTATATTGCACAAGCTCTACGTACATAACTCTTTATAGAACAACCACCCTCTCATCCCCCCAAGCCCAAAAGAGGCCGACCTCGAAAATACGCGTCTACTGAAGAAAGGAAGTTGTAAAAAATAGCCCAGCAGAGGAACCAGCGCCAGTCTACTCGCGCTGCAAAACGCGCTCAGCAATTCGATCAATATTATACCACAGCGGGGTCTCTGTCCACTGATAATAATGGACCTCCGCCAACCTACTTTCCTCCAGAAGAACTCTGCTTCGCCACCGAGGTTGAGCAACTTCTACCAGCCCTTAGCCCTGAGCTTGGGCCCTGGGAACCATCTACTCCAGAAGTTCCGCCTATGAATAATAACCTGCCGTTGGAATCCATGCCTGATCTGGACAATGTGCCTGCCCCAGACACCCCGCCAGAAAATGAACGAAATGATCCCAGTCAAGACACCCCTAGACTAGAGACGAGTGAAAGTTCCATCTTGGCGGCTGACACATTTATAGATGCAGCTCGCTATCGACCGGAGTCCTCTGCAACTAACGCGGTAGATGGCATCCATGACCTCGCCCGGGTTCTTACTGATCAACTCCAACAACACCATGGCTGTTGCCGCCAGTGCCACGAACAGCAGGAGCGTGAACATGAAATAAAGCATGCAGAGCATTCAGGCTTAGGGGAGTACATGGACCAGATTCAGTCAGATGGGGGATACCCAGACGTTCTTAGCGTGGCGACCATGGCTAAACGCGAGGACAACCTAGCAGGGCAGACCAGTGCCCAGAGAAAGCGTGAGATCTATACTGGAATCAATTCAGCCGCGCCTAACGCTGGTCCCGTCCACCTCTGCCTTGCTGCCGACCATGAGCCGGAACTCCCGACCGCGATAACTTTTGATGTCGATAGTATCGTGGGATTTGCGCACAGCCTAGCAGTGGCCAAGCTCGGAGTACGGTGGAACTCGACTCAGATGGCCATCTCTGATCTTCGTTCGGGTCTGCACCTTGATCCTCTTCCGATCCAATACATTGGAAGCAATGGTCGCGCTCATCACGTCCGACGGCCGGTGCATATGATCCCACATTATACATTTGGGCGGCTAGTCGGATTTGAGGATATCTCTCTTTACTTCCTATTCCCGCGGCTATACCGGGAGGAGCAGCAATCCAGTCGCCTCCGTGATGATGACTTTCGGATTTGGATAGACCAGATACTCCTCCCTGCAATCTATCCCATGGAGGTGGGTAAACCGAGCCTGGGTTGAATTAGGGTCTGGGAGTTAACTATGGGAGAACAAAAGTGGGTCAGGGCCCAGTTTAGTTAATTTTCAAACCCCCAGTTTATTTAGCAGTTGGCATCGGATCATACTCATATTTTTAGAAATTGTATTCCCAAAGGTAAAGTTTATATGGTTTTAATTTAGAGTCGATTTGATTAGAGTCGATTTGACCAGTACTAGTAGAGGTTTGGGCGATTGAAATTCGGGAGTTTTTTTGGTGAGGGCCCAGATATAGATATGCGACCGCAGTTAACCACCCATAATATCAACATTAGGGTTAACAAGTTGATCAGTCCAAAGTTCAGTTAGACGAATACGGGGCTAAGATGAAAGTCAGGGGTAATAAGAAGTCCCAGCCGTCGTCGATTTCAATTTTAGAAAAATCCAACCCCAGTTTGTTATACAATTTGAATATTTGTCGTATACATTCACATATATATATTGCCACATCAGTATAGAGAACGAACTTTTCACCAAACCCGCAGAATACCCCATTATTATTTGCAAACGTTATCAGATCGGTGTTCGGCCCAGTGAGATTAGTGCTCATATCTATCCCATGGGGGAGGGGGGACTGACGGTGAGTCGGATTAGGGTTTTTGCATTTTTGTATGGGAGAAAAGAAGTGGGCCCACGGCCAGTCGAGTTAATTTTCACACGGCCAGTCGATTTAGCAATTGGCGCTGGATCATGCTTAGATTTTCAGGAGTTATATTCCCAGTATTAGATTTTGAATAGGCCCAATTTGGAGTTAATTTGACCCGTATTGATAGAAGCTTTTACGATTGAAATCGGGGTTTTTTTTGGTGAGGGCCCAGATGTGGAGATGCGACCGTAGTAAACCACCCAAAACATCAACATTGGGGTTAACAAGTTGATCAGTCCAAAGTTCAATTAGATAAATACGGGGTTAAGAAGAAATTTAGGGGTATTTAGAAGTCCCAGCTATCGTCCAGTTCAATTTTGGAAAAATTCCACCACTTCATCCACCCTAGTTTGTTATACAATTTAGATATTTGTCGTATATATTTATATACATATATCCACACAGCAATATGGAGAACCAGATTTTTATCAAACCGTAGGAATTTCCCATGATTATTTGCAAACAGTGCAAGATCGGAGTCCGACCAAGTGAAGTCAGTCGTCACATCCAGAGAGCCCAACACCGACTGGGATTACCCACCGGAAGGCAGTTACAGCACGCCATCCAGCAGTGGAACAGAGTGCAGGAGTGTGAACGTTGGGAAGTACCCACCGCCGTCCACGATCCCATTCCCGGATTGCCAGTTCACAATGATGGATTATTGTGCACCCGTACATCCGAATGCGGGTATGTGGTCCGGAGCGTTGACGTTATAAAGCGCCATTGGCGTGAGAAGAACGACTGGAAGCCCAGTGGCAGCAAAGGTCGTCCCCGGCCAATCCTTCCTGACTGATTCGCGAAACACGTGCTATCTGGATCCGGCGAAGGACTGGTTGATAACTCGGGTCGGCCGCCTTTTCCGCACCTTCTGGTCCCAGAACGTCGAGGGCCGTTGGGTCGTATCGGCCGACGCGGCCCAGCAGTATGAGAATGCCGTCCAGCGGTTTCTTCGAGTAGTAATGGTCCCATTTTTCTCGGTTCAGAGCAGCAAGGTCGCCGTGACGAGTTTATTGGTCTACGGTGGCGGAGTACCACGTTGATTCTTCTTTCACGACGGACAGATGCTGTTTATTATAAGCTACTATAAGTCGCGGCATCAGAACAATGCCTCTCGATGGCCTGTCCGACTCCTGTTGCCCGAGGTCGCGCAGCTTATAACGCAATATCTTGTCATCGTGACCCCCTATACTCTATGCTTAACTTGTGCGAGGTGCTCACACCAGTTCTTCGCCCGGATTGGCCCGTTGTGCGTGCTCCCGCGTCTCTGTATGGGTGGCTTGTTCGCTATACCCCATCTCGCCAAGTTCCATTGCCTCCAGATCGATCAAATGGTCAATATCCACATGAAAACTGCCCAAAGTTGTAAGCACGCAAGTAATCCCGTGCGCTTTACCCCATCTGCTGGCGACATCATGGAAATTTTCATTGGAAAGTTCAAGCACTAACCGACCGGCAAATATTGTGACCTTCCAGGGTGCTTTGAGTTGTACGCCATGATTCAGGGCAAATTTCGCTCTTGGTCTTAAACTGGGCTTTTGATATGTTATAGATAATTATTGACTGTATATATGTAACCTTTTGATGGGAATGGTGGTTCATTTGGTTTTGCTTGAGGTTCTTTCATTGTCCTGCGCCTCGAGTTGCTGTTTAACAGTCCCCCATTTGGAAGTAACAATTGGCATTAATTGAGGCTCAACCACTCAAGCCAAGAAGCGCAATGATTGAATCGGTTCAGCTATAGTGTTCTTGAAGGAAGATCTTATTGTGTCCTTTTCAACATATTCAATAGTTCTGTCACTCCACGCGTTCTCTTCGATCCAATGGATGAAGCGAAAAATGTCTTGATCACAGAAAAGGGATCTAGGGATCCACGGCCTTGGTTGTAGGGAGAACCTGCTTATGGACCGAGACTAGCCATTTGAAGACCGGCTTCTATGGATGCTGTTGCTGATTCTTCGAAGTCGAGCGGAAAAAGCAACTGACCACTGACAATTTTACCAATATGCGTCCGTCCAATCCGCTGGCAATCTTTCCTAATCTGTGACATTAGAATCTCAAGGAATTTGAGCGGGCTCTGACTGAAGCCTGCCTTCGCTCCCGGGAAACCTCGTTTGATGAATCCATCCGCAGCGACAACAAGACCGGGCGGCGTTTTCACAGATGCCACCCCCAAAAATTCACAAAGGTCCTTGTACTCGGAATATGATTCAAGATACAGCTGCCCAGAAAATAGGTTGAGCAGCATACGGAATATATCAGGTATTTCGGTTTTGACAACATCGTCGGGGACCGTGTGTAGCCTAAGTCTATCCAAAGAGGGAAATCCTCGGCTTTGGCGTGGGGCATACAAATGAAGAGTGACGACACGTGATTCTCGTATCTTGGACATCAAACCATTGGCCTCGTAAGGGCTAATGATCATCATGCGCAACGGAGGTGTTCCGTCATCGACAACATGGTTTCGACTTGTCAGGACCCATCTGACAGGACGTTGGAAAGCATCAGCAACAAAGTGTGAGCCCGGGGGAGTCTTGATGGTCCTAACAAAGTCGTTGGAAGCCAGTAGACTGGATGGGAATTGAGATACGTCCAGAAAGCAGGCGGCGGAGGTATTGCGCAGCGTGAGGTATGCTGGCTCATAGGCCTCGGAAGACCTCACAAGAATGCCTGTAGTGACAAATGAAGATATGTGTGGATGGATATGGTGCGTTTCGGGTGTAGCACTTGGAGGCCTCTGAACCTGGCGCTCACTTTCAACCTCTGGTGCGAGCTCGCGCTCCTGTTCCTCTTGAAGGGAGGACGAAGTGTCGAGACCTTCAAACTTGCGGCAGCGCTTCCAAATCAAATTCAGATTCGGGCTAGTATCTGAAGGACAGTTAAATAACGGCCGCGCTTGATGACCAGGTCGGTATCGCTGTTCAAGAGTTTGGCATTTGGGCTCGAGAAATTCCTGGGCTTGTCTCGGCGTCAGATCAAGACAATCATTTTGGCGGTAAGCTTGCCACAATTCCCGTTGGCGCTCGAATCGTGTACCCTGGACCGCCCAAAGGGGAATACTGTGTCGGCTGTCAATCCACGTCTCGGAAATGGCCCAGAGAAGCACGTCCGCGACAGTGATCTGAGAATTCTTGTCCTTGCCACTCAAGGCCAGGATATTGGACCTGACCTCCTCTGTGACGCAAAAGACGACAGACTGTCCGTTGCCCAATTTCCTCATTCTCATGCACGCTGGAGCATAGTCAGTCTTGGCCTTTGCCTGATATGAAGAATCCAAATTTCGTACCTTGAACCAATTTGTCCTTCGTGATACCCGGACCCAGCGTGACCGCCGCACGATAATTAGACGGGAGCTTCAAATCGATTCCTCTGGTATGTGCTTCGTCCAGGAAAACAAAGCATGCTTCCATCTGTCTTGCAAACGGTGAAGTTTGCAATAGTTCAACACGTCCAGTTCGATCCAGGACGGAGATGTCGTCTTTGTCGTTTACAAATACCACCGCTTGGACTGGTCCTTCGTTTGGGAGCAGTTTTAGCCAGTGCGCTGCCAAGTCATGATTACTGAGCTCCAGAATCTGTGCGCCCACATCAAGAATCACCTGAGCCGGTGGATTCAGATCCAATACCAGGTCCAATATGATCTCGGCATCTGACTTGCATGGCTGGACTTGCTGTGGAATGCAGGCCACGGAATTTTCTGGCCGCAACAAATATTCCAGCACCAACGCATTCGTGTGGTTTTGCTCCGGCAGGTCGAGTTGCGAGACGCTCAGTGGTAGGGTTTCTCGTGAATCATTCGTCCCACTAAACCCTACTGTAGGATGTGTTTTGATCTCCCCGATATCCCAGCCCGACGCAGACAACTTGTCAGGAAACTCCTTCATTTCTTTCGGGAATACGACGTGTGTCAAGAAGTAGTCTACAGTAGCTTTGGAGAACCGCAGAGCGGGGAACACATGATCGGTACAATGAGACCGGTCATCCAGATTCACTCCCACAAGCTGCTGGTAGGTGGGTGGAAGCCTAGAAGCATCGTTCGTCCACTCTTGATAATCTGCACTCGCTTGGTCTGACCCGACCAGATGATTGAAGGCGAGAAATATATCGTCGTCGCCAAGTCCGGCATAGTAGTAATTCAGACATGTCAACAGAATCACGACATCGGGATGGCTGAATTCTGACCGAAGGGAAAGGCTATCATTGGCTCGATACGGCACACAAAGTCTTGTCGGTGGATTTCGGCTCCTATCAGGCCCATAGTTGACGCGCCATCGTTTTTGACCCAAGCAAAAGGCTAGAACGCCCCCAGCGAGCAGACCCCGTATCAACAGGAGGGATGCCCGTGTGCTATCTCCCCAAAATCCTGCGGAATCCTCGCACTCCACCGCCGCGATTTCCTCCACCAGAGGCTCAGATTTCATAATGTAGGTGTAGACGGCATCTCGAATGGGCCGAGCCTGCCTCGAGATTGACAGAGACCCAATACCATTCTCACATATGTGCCTTCCGACGTATTGAACCAAAGCTTTCTCAGCATCCTGTTTGAGCAAACGTATCCGTGGAAAACCGCCATGCGGCTGCTCGCTCACTTCAATGGAGTCGGGGAATTCGGATTGGACGCGACCAGCATAATCTCGAACCAGTTGTAACAGCTCTTGTACCACAATCCACCGTCGTGGGCTGAGTTCGACGGGGCGTTGAGATCCCATGGTATAGATCAATTCAAATTTGACGCTAAAGTTTTCATCACTTTCGTCCACAATGTCCCGGGAGTTGTGTTGGAAGAACTGCAACGTGCGAAGTAGAGAACGGCCCACGGCGCATTTCCCAGCAATAAAACACTCAAGGCTCATCAGTTTCAAAGATAGGATATGCTCGGGTTGGACGAGCAAGACACCGCCCTGCGACATACACTCTAAACACATGCGTTCAATCTCCTCTGCTTCGGCTTCTCCAAATTTCAGAGAGCGTGCAATGGGCATGTGATACACACGCCGACCCAAGAGACCACCCAACTTCGTGACCAGCATTTGAAACATTTGTCGTGATTGCGGCTTGGCCACAAGAACGCGAACCAGGCAAACTCCATTCGCAAGATCTGCTACCACCATAGGAACAATAACTGAAGATTTCCCCTCGCCCATATTCAATTGCATGACGGCATTCTTTCCCGGGACAAAGTGCCTCATTGTCGCCGCAATTTCCTCCTGAATGCCTCTTATCAGGACCCCGTTCTCTATCTCAAGCAGAAGAGTCTCTGGGAACCGGATTGGCTGCCAGTTCGTATGTCCTGAATTTTCGAGTTCTTTCAGGAGTTCGTCCGGGTGCTTGAGAAGGCGAGCTAGTCGTTTCGCTCGCTGCAATTTAGTGATTGAGCACCCGTAAGCAATGAAACATTTTTTCCAATCTAGGTCTAGTGGACCCCATCGATGGCGCGACAGTTGCTCCAAAAAAAGGACTGGTGACAGCCTTGGGTACTGCTGCAGTTCCAGGGCTACTGCGATTACCTTTGCCCTGAAAGGATGGATCGTCCCTGACCAGGTGGTCTTCTCACGAGGACAGAGCTCAGACACAAGTGATCGATACACCCTGTCGACATATTCTTGACACGATGCAAGATAGTCCAAAATATTTGTCTCCAGCTCTCCTTGAGCCATATTGATGTGCTTTTCTTGTCTGCCATCTTTCAACGAAGCAACACTGCTTTGTAACTGTTCGACATAGTTTTTCTCGTACTTGGATTTGGCTTGTATACCCAAAGAGTTTAGCAACGCCACCAATGTGGAAGCTGGAGGTTGTCCTGTCGACGATGTAGAGACAAGGTTCCTTAATTGCGGTTCTTCAATGTCGATGATTGGCTGCGGGCCGAGTAGGTCATCAAAGAGCACAAAGCCACGTTTTTTCGGTGCACTTTGAGGTGGAGGTGGTAGCTGGTAGGGCTGAATCTCGACCTCTTCGATCAGTTGATGGCAAGTGACATTCGCAATGTCGGTAATGTATCGCTTCAGATCTCGATTGTCGAACCAGATACTGAACAATTTTGAAACTTTCATCATCATCTCCTGTGCATCAAAGTAGTCATTCACTGTTGGATTTAATAGTGAGGACGGTGATCGGGTGGGCCACTCGCGTTCAAAATGTAGCAACAAACTTTTCTTAATGGCTTCCCGATTTTGATTCCGGAGTCTATCCCTGCGCGACATGAGTTTTTGAAATGTCTCATTCGCTTCGGGCGCAAGTTTTGACTCTGGAGTGACTTTACGCTGTTCCGACTCGATTTGACAGCGGATTGAAGTTTTAATCATCTCAGCTCCCTCTTTTGGCAAAAACAACGCACTGGATGGCAGATGGATTGAAGCCAGGTCACGAATCACAAAAAGTGAAACAATGGTCTCAAGGGCAATCATATTAGCTTCATTGGAGAAAGCAAGGGCTGCAAGCCAGATCATGAGCTGGAATTTGCCGAGGCGGCGGGTTTGTGAGCACGCGAGGTGGTGTATGCTGCACCAATTACTGACAAGAAACTCTCTTGACTCTAGTATCCACTCAGCATCGTACCTCAACCTTTTCGTGTCTAATGGAGTATGAGAGCCACGAACCCCGGTGGGTAAAGAGAGGAATTGCCAAAGATGCGAGGTCAACTGTTCGGATTGAAGTTTGCGGACAGAAGGGATCCCTTTGTAAAGCATCTTGCAAACGGCAAAGCTTCGAGACGCTGCGCAAGATATCCGATTCTTGTCGAGACTGTTGTACATGCTGTCGTGCTTCTGCGTATGATCGTCGGCGCCGAATCCTGGGGCGCGGAATGAAGATGTGCGGATTCGCTCCCGCAAAAACAGTGCTTGCTCCACATGTGGAAGTGACGGGTGATTAAGCTCTGTCCCGAGTTGGAAAATGCTCATGCGACGGTTTTGGTCCAGTATATCTGCGACTTCCTCGCGAAAGCCATGGTGCTGAGAGAGGCAGCCTAGACCTTGCCGCCAGTGGATGCTCTGCATCACTTGCTCATTATCAGGATAGAATCTTCTGGCAGGAGTGAGAGATGCGATGCTCTTGAGGAGTTCAATGTGTTCTGTCTGCAGGCGATCAAAAGACCTCAGGGACGCGGACCGAAGTATAGACAGAGCCTGCTCGGTACCGGTCTTCTTGGTGAGTGGATCTGGCAGGCAGAAAGACGTAAGAGCATGCAAGTACGTGAGATATAGCTTGCTCTGTAGGCTTCCATTGTCCAAAAGCCGTCCGAGCTGGCGATCGATGGGATACGCATGGATGGTGGTCGCAGGTTGCCAACCGATCTCGACACGAACGTGGTTGCCATCTCTGGCCCAAGATAAAGCTCCTTCAGGTATGAGGACCACTTGGTCGTAAGAGTCACGGTTAGTGAGCAGAAGCGTGTTGCGTAGCCCAATCAATGAGTCAAATACTTGGTTACTATCGACTGACAGGCCAGGATATTGTCGAGATTGGATTGCAGAAGACTGTGACTTGAGGATAAATTCCAATCGAAGGCGCGGTAGCTCAACATGTAGACTCGAAGAGGCCTCGTGGAAAATACAATGCACCTTCAAAGCCTTTTCAATCGGCTGAAAAACATTGGATATTACTTGGGCCGTTTGGCACATGGTGCTGACCAAAGTTGTTCCGTTCCTCTTGAGGCTCCAGGAAGCTTTACAAGAGCTCCTGTGGAGCTGCCAGTTTTGACTGGATGACAGCCATGGCGCTTCCAAGGGTCGGAATTCCACCAGGTCCCCTGAGACCGAATACCAGTGCGCATAGCCTTCCACAAACTCATCTGGAAAAACTCCAGCAAAAAGTCTAGACGGAACCAGCTGCCAGACTTGCTCCCCACCCTTCACCGCTTTGACTGACATGTCGGAATCAGTGGACTCTGGCACGGTCTCTTTTCCGAGGTGTACCGTGTAGCCCGAATACTGCTTTTGACACGAAAATTGCATCCCCGGTGTGTTGCTGGGCATTACGTCCAATTGAGATTTCCCGAATAAGCTGCGATACGTTGGATGAGATTCATACTCAGAAGGCAAACGTGCAAGCGGGAGGCCATCCACAAGGAGCTCTCCAGTCAAGAGGTTGTAGTGCTACAACATGTCTTCGCTAGACCCGGACTGGCCGGCAAACCGAGTAAACAACCAATATGTCACGTCGTTTGACACCCTGGACCACTTAGAGGTCTTGTCATAGGCTGCCCAGGCTGCGTCGATGGCCAGGTCTAGTCCTGGGTTCTTGCATTCAACGATACGCTCTGCGAGAATAACATGGCTGCGATAACACAGAACTTGCCACCGATGGTACAGAATTTGAAGCAATGAACCTGATTCTGTTGTTAGAGAGTTCCTCCCGTTCCCAATGACTGAACAGCACTGCAGAAAGATCGAAACATCCGCCGAGATGGCGAACATAGGGGCAATGGTTTCTGCATTGAATGTCTCTGTGCAGACCAAAGCGATATGAACGCTCTTTGCAATTAAATTGGTTTTCTGTGTATCATCAATAGTCTCACTAGCTTTCGTTCTGACAAGATTGAGCCAGTGGAAAGCAGATCGGCGGAGGTTGTTTAGACACTGAAGGCACATCGCACAGACTTTCTGAGAAGGAGACAAAGACAAAATCCTCAAAACCAGCCGAATGAGACTATTGATCCCATTTATGGTCTCCCAATTTTGCTGGATCCTCTCCATTGTCTCTTCAATTCGCGAGAGTACCTCGACTGTGAATACCTCGTCGCACAAAATCGCATGTCCTTGTCTCAATGTCGTGCCTGTTTTGGATGGGCCCGCTTGATTGATTATCTGGAGCACAAAGATTGTGGTTTCGATTTTTTTCATGTCCACCGATGGCATCGACAGTTCCAGCAGGATATTTTGCCATTGGATCTCCAGTCCAAGGGGCATGGTTGCAAGGGCCTTGTATTCTTCCAGTGACATGTCAGCAGGGGCATCGCACTGTGTCGCAATGACAGTATTTGGTGACGGGCCATGTGGATTCATGGCAGGTCGAAACAGAAATTGCTGCAGCGCTGAACGGTGTGCCGGGAACCTATAGGTGCAGGAAGTCTCTGTTTGATGAGTCCAGTCAAAGCCGCTCACAAAACATCCGAGAACATTGTCAAAGTATTGGAAGTGAAGTCCATTGTTGAGGCAGACATCATTTTCGGTCACATTGAGAATTAACCTGTCGCGTCGATGAGTTCTCTCGTGAGGTTTATTCTGAGAAAGAAGACTAATCCGCTGGTTACGCCCGTGGTTGCTGAAGAACGGAGACAGACCTCGATATGTGTGTGGACGATGCTCTGCTCTGGGCCGTTCTTCCACCGCGTACTTCATATTCAAACACCGATGCAGGAAAAACAGCGTGGTGTCACGCCAGCTTCCAAAGGGCTCGGGTACTCGAAGTTCGAAGACAGTGGCTTTGGCCCTTGAGCGATTGGTCGGCAGAGGCCACTCATGTATGCTGATTTCAATCGACTCGGCCTGCCTTTGATAACGTTCTCGAGGGCAATCGCTGCTGTGGACTCTATCCCGAAGCCCAAGTCTCTTATCCACAATAATTTCGACATATTCACATGGTGTCTTAGAAGATAATGCCATCAATTCCCGGTAACGTTGCTGCTTTTCCCGAAGCTCGACCTTTTTCTTCGTCCTCTCCTGAGTGGCATTTTCTTCGATGGCTGCAAGCAATTGCTGATGTTTGTGAGACTGCTCGAAGTATCGAACAGCGAAGCAGGAGGAAGTCCCGAATTCCTGGAAAATGTTCGGGCCATGGTAGCGAAGGCGAGCCTGACGTCGACTCAGATACTTTTCAGCACACGCCAGCCTCTCCATGTGCGATCGAAAAGGCAGCAAAAGTGATTGAAAGCAGTCAACTGGTATGCATGTGTCATAGTCTCTCAAGGTCTCATGTAGGTGAATCGCGGATTTGTCGCAGGCAATCCAGAACTCTAAGAGCGTAAGAAGCATGACTGATGTAGCTTCGGGGTTGTCTGAATACGACGAAGACGCTTTCTCGAAGTATCGAGTCATCAAAGCACCGAGTTGACCACAGGCTGCCTCCTCGCCCTGGTGAATTTCCAGCCATGCATTGAGATCCGAAGCAACCCAATCCTCAAAGGCAGCAAGGTTGTACGCTTGGTAATCAGAATCGTGTGAATCGAGGTGATTTGGAAGCTCTGTTCGTTGGTATTTGATCAACTTCGATTGCGGCTGGAAACTTTCTCTGCACGGGCGTTTGTTGCTTCGATTTTCTATGCTCTCGATGTAGCGGTCAAGGCAGGGGAGCGCACATTGAATATCTTGACGGAAATTTAAATCACGCAGCAGTGGCATGTCAACACTGTGGCTATTTTTGCTCCTAATATGCGTCCACTGGCCTTGAACTGCGCTGCTTGTACGACTCAAGATTTCCTGAACTGAGGTGAACCAGGCAGGCACAACTGCCAAGTCAAGCTTAAGCAGTCTGCGAACGATCTTGGCATTCATAAGAAAGAGACTCTCGGAGGGTATTGCAATTGAAGCCCTGTCAACTATCGAGGTCATGAAGAAGACCATGAATTGTTTGTACAGATCGTCCAAGCTCCCTTCTGTAGACAGTCTGCGAAATACTAGCTGCAGTGTCACGCGCACCAGGAGCCATAATGCAGATCGGCGCCACGGCGATTGGCAATCACGCCACATTACTTCCTCGCGAGTGTTCTTCTGAATCTGTACAGACGCGATGTCGGTGCATCGAGGACGAAGAGTCGACATGAGAAGCTCTGTCACCATTTTGGGATGCGTTGTGTCCCTGGTCTCATCGTGCTCCTGTCCAGCCTTCTTGACTCTTGGCTTGGTTCCAGCAACGGGCTGGTGACTCATTCTGGAAATCGTTTGCGCCATGAACGCTCGGAATCCGGGTTCCTCGAAAGTTGCCCTATTCATAACCATAGTCGGACCCGGGAAATCACGGCGCAGCCGTCCCACTGTTGTTGTAACGGCTTCATTGCGAGCTGACAACTCAAAAGATTCGATGTGTATCGCATCGTTATGCCAGTATAGGAAGATTCCTGCGTTTTGCTCGCGAACGTGAATTGGGAGGAATCCGCCTACGGCCTGGTTAGAAATGAGCACAATAATTTGCGTGCAATGCTTACCCCGAATAGGTAGCTCTGCCAGACTCATCTCGAGCTGCTTTTCATCAACGTCCCCATGAGGGCTGTATGCCTTTCTTAGGCGAGAAACCATCTCGGTGGCCTTACGTACGATAGTAGTATCTGCGGTCGGAACGTAATCGCTGAACCTGCGGAGAGCATCAACGACGCTCTCGAGGAGACGATGTTCTTGTTGCACATTGTAATCTTCTGCCTGGGGAACTTCTGGTGGGAGAAATATGTGGCGGAACAGGTACAATGTCTCCTCTAACGTCATTGACTTGGATGCAACAGAATCTTCCATGACGAAAAGTTTGACAGAGGGACGAATGTAGTGGGAGTTTGATTTGGATTGCAGGGAACCAGTTTTGGGTCCAATTTTTGCTTAGTTGGGTTGCGAGGAGACTTCAGAGAGTGGCTAATGAACTTAGGAACGTCTTTAAATCAACAGGCTGGACCCCTTTATACAAACAGTATAACCTTAGACTTCCACAGAACAAGGTCTTTGCATGATGCTGTCTATCACAATCTGCACGAGCAGAAGATTGAAACACATACAATGTGAGGGGCGCTTATCGTTCCGTCTCAGCTCTCCTATAGGTGGAATTCATCACTCTGATAGAAGGGGCAAGCAAACCCCCTATGGAGACTTCCTTGACTCACTGCTATTATATCGACTATTGTCGATCTATGATAAAAAAATGTGATCATCCCCACAGTTTTCATTATGTGTAAATTCAGCTTCAATTCAACGCTCATATGGCATTGGAAGTGTTCCATAAGGCTTCTACCACAAGTTTCTCAAACTATGATCAGTCCATGAAGGCCCGCTTAAAATAGTGACTCCACGGCCCTTGAATTAAAAAAAAATCCTATCATTGCTTCCTGGTTTGATCAAAAAGGAGCGAGACACAGCATGGGCAGGGCACATATTGCCACACAACCTTGGGTTTTCCACCGCAAGATATGACCCAATGAGATTCCCTTACATGATAATTTTCTTGCATCACGGGCCTCCTGCGTAGTGGATAATGAGCCTCCCGCATTAACAATAAATCAATCTCCACTTTTGAATAATCGAGCAGTCACCCACAAGCGCACCATAAGGTGCGAACTCACCAAGTTGTAGTACAATAGCTGATTGAATGTTTTTCCTAGATATTAGAGGGACTCGAACAGTGGTAAAATTGATCATGTGGTAGAGTACTAATAATTGCTTCCGTTTCAGAGACTTACGCACGCTTGTTTATGTCGAGACCAGGGGCCATGGAGGTTACAAATGCTATACGTTAAATTGCTATTATTATGTCATGATAATTGATAATTGAATGCCAAGCGCATATCAAGAAATCATAAAGAGGCTACCCAAATGAGTCGACAGGAGAAAGAGGAAATCAATAGGGGGCGAAAGCCAAGATGCAGGCTAACAGGTCTCACGCTAGCATAGGAAGATAGGGTTGGAAGTGGAACTATAGATCTGAAGATCAAGCATGGGACAGTTTGGGAAGGAGGACTAGTTACACGGCATATGAATTCGAGAGTGAGCGAGTATAGTATTCAGCAAAGATGAGCATTACTCATATTCAAAGAGTTTGATCTTTCAAAAGCTCTTGAAACTCCCGCAGCGATGATAAATACTGCTCTGTCTGCCTCTCCTCCTGCCAAACCCGCAGTCCTGTTCTTTTCTCCAAATAGCCCGGCCATTCCTTCGGAAAATACCCTCTAATTTCCAGTTTTTGTAAATTTGAAAATTTTCCCAGCGTTCGCGCAAAATCAGCATCCACAGCTGGACCCCAGTGGTTGACAGTCGGTTCTGAATCAAGATATAACACCATTTCTTCGAGACATTCTGCTTCTGTGAACAGTTTTTCGAGAAGCTCGCGCCATCGCGGGCCATTGGGAGGATTGTTTGTTAGGAAATCTGGGTGAGGCCCCGGATTGTATACAGCATGAACAGAGATCCAAAGTCTGCGTAGGTTCCGAATGTTTGACGGCTTAATCATATTAAGCCAGTCTATACCAGTGTCGGGGTTGTGAATTTGGGACATGTTTTCGATATAGAATTCCGCTGGATTTTTCGAAAGGGTTGTTTGAGGATCGGTAATGTGGATTCCTGATTCAGACATGACGGATACAGTTAATCGAATGAAATGACGTTATGTCTGTGTAATAAGTGACGTGTGGGGAGTTTGGACTTTTGGAAAAGATTCTCATACAATGTTGAATTCTCGAAGCTTGACCATATTACGAACGCTCGAACAGCTTATCTATATATACTGAAATACGTATTCTCAACCTGACGATTCCAGTTTGAAACAACATGGATACTTACTTGTACACTTTACGTTGCAAGCCATATATGCAGGCTCGTATGCAAGTGTCCCAAATGTTCTCCGTATTTAATTTTCAAGTGTTTTGAAAGGTTTTCTTTGTAGATGCATGAATCTGCAATAAGGGCTTTCTGACTCATGGCACATGGTCTGGTCTGCCTCCCGCATGGCCTAGTCTGCCTCCCGCATAGCCTATTCTGCCTCCCGCATAGCCTATTCTGCCTCCCGCATAGCCTATTCTGCCTCCTGCATAGCCTAGTCTGCCTCCCGCATGGTCCAGTCCGTCTCCTGCATCATCTGGTCTGCCTCCCGCATGCCTCCCGCATGATGGTTATCGACCCTTTCTCTTAGTCCGTCATGGACTTCGACTCGTGCGTTGGCCGAGTAAAAAGTACCCCTCTCAAATCCACTACGTACAGCCTTCCGCGTGCCGCCGCTCTGATCTCAAGTTACGCGTGGCTTATTTTACTATCCAAAACTATGGAATAAAAACGACCTTTGTGTCAGCACGCACTTTTCCATTTTCGCGTTTTCATGTTCTTTGGATTATTTCTTTCGAAGACAGCATATTGCGATAATCCGATCACAATGGATCCTCGCGAAGCCAGATCGACCGGGTATAGCACCTTTTCACCAACACTTGAAATCAAACCCAAAACCGTCGGTCGCCCGAGGTTCGACCCGTATCACAAGGTTCTCAGCAGGTTTTATGAACCACTGGTGCTGTTGCGATTGCTTGGACAGAGCCGTGGGAATCACCAGCCGAAACCGCACGATGTAAATGCAGGCCAAGCTGTGCGTCGGGATTTCTTGCGGAATCTTTCCTAAATTTTTGACTTTGAAAAAGGCGGAGATACCTGCACCGCGATTGGACTTGCAGACCTCGGCGCATGCTATCGGTTATATGTCGCTTCAAATAAAGGACAAGCTAAGATAGCTGAGTTTCTTAAGGCTCTTCTTGGGCTACTGCACGATTTAAATGAGGTGCCAGGATCGGAGCTACCTCAAAGGGAAGCAGAGTTTGTGAAGTTTTATGTTGATTTTGCGGAAAAGCGCGTCAGAAAGGAAAAAAACTGCTTATTCAGGGCCGTGGATGCTTGTAGCCGAAAGCTTTCACATTCAGCTACCATTGAAGGTGTGCACCGCCAGTAAGGTGTTATAAAATTGCCGATGCTAATGCCTTGGTAGCCGAAAGACTACGCAAGTGGTTAAGATCGCTCCTGAGCCATGATGATAATCTCACACTTTGCACGTTTGCATACGAAACCAGGCATTCTCCATTTCTCCCATCGTTGCGGTCTATACGGCAAGAAAACTTGCTCAGCCCAGACATAGAATGCGATCCTCTTGGGCTTGTAGGACATTACATCGGACGGCTAGCACATCATATCCGAGCATCAAAGGAGCTTGTTAAAGCTGTCACTGATATGAGCCAAATACTAGAAAGTTGCGAAGTTTCCTCTGTGGATCACATAGCACCGGTGCCACCTCCCGCACCCGACAGACATACGAATCTTGACGGAATTCTCAACCGTATGTTAGGGAAGGGACACGACGAGCGACTCGACATTGAACATGGACTGTCAAAAATCAACGCTGCGAATCGACTCTTCGATAGATTTCCGGGCGAATATCGGAATCTAAAGCCACGAATCCATGCAGAGGTCCAAATACTTGATCATTTTCATCGATATCAAATACAATTCACCGAAAATGATCGCTTTGTCGCTTGCAGTAAGGCGGCCTGTCTATGTTGCGAAATGTATTTCAAACACCACCCAGCACGAATGATTGTCCCTGAATCGCATCGAAATGTGTGGACAAACTGGGGACCGCCTCTGGTAGAGAACTTCTCGAAGTCCCACGGGGCAGGAAGGCAGCAGTTACATATACTGAACAAAGTGATTCACGAGGTTCGCAATCTTGTCATCAGTCAAGCCCTTGGACAATCCTCGGTTGGTCAGAGACGTCCTGATACAAAAACAGAAATTACAGATCTCCACTCCCTCGGCTACACCCCAGCACCTATCAACGTTTCGGAAAAGAGTTCAATGGTTATGAGCGAAGATACCCCCATTGAAAAACAGAATCAACAATCAAAAAATCAAGCCAGAGGACCATCGATTAGCCCTGGATTATTGACTCATAACAACGAAGAATCGGATGGTGAGGGCGGAGGCGTTTTCATTCAGGCCTGGATGCATTGAGGGCAACTACAACATTGCTCGTTTAAAGCGGATGGTGTCTTTGGCTTATACTGTTTTGACTACATATTTTGTACTGCTCTCTTTTTTAAGCACGATGAATCTTAAATTGGAAAACAAAGCTTAAGTGTTATTTATCTCTGCACTACCCCTTGCACGTCCTCTCCCGGTGCCTCCAGAGATTTTATCGTTGCGTGTACAAGACGAGCCACATTTGTCGCAAGTAAACTTTTCTATCATCTCCAGATATTCTCTAGCCCATGGCTTATGATGAGTTACGACATGTCGGCGCATATCCGTTTGTTCAGCTGTACGATAATCACAAAAAGCTTGTGGACATTTGACAGGTTTGACGTGTATCCGAGCGTGTTTCCTGGAAAATATTAGATACTGCATTGTGTTCGTTATAGAAACAAAAGGTACCTTAAAAGATGTTTCTTATCTTCATCTGTTTTCCATTCACAATTCAAATACCGACAACGATACACTCCATCAGAGAACAATGTCATATGGTCTAGTGAAGGCATCTCTGCTTCTTCAAATTTGACCACATTTCGAGGCGCTGAGGCTAGCGGCTCTTACACGCTTTCCTCTGGAGCTCTGCCTTGGCTAGAATCCTCAGTCGATGCCATTCTTTCAGAATTTTCTTGAAAACCCTCTCCTCCATCAAGGAATGCATCTGGTTCAAGTCTCTATAGAGATGAATGATCCATGTAGTTCTCTGTAGACTCTGGGGGATTCAAGATAGCTGCATCCGTGAAGCCGGAAGTGCCATTCATCGGTTGAAAGACTTCGAATGAGGTGTCTGCAGGGGGTGAGGCACCACCTGTCGCGCTGGGAGCCATGGGGGGATCAATTGTTCCATGTTCGGGAAGATAAACGATTTGTTCAGTCAACAGGTCAAGAAAAAAGTTTGGGTCTCCACCTTCATCTTCATCGTCCGCACCATGGCCAGAGAATGTTTTGTCCATGGCTAATGGTAGGGACGCATAAAAAACCTGCGCAACGTAAGATTAGAAGGCTTTATACTGAAGAAAGTCGCGAGTATTGGCTTTCTGGCTGATTAATCCCTGCGCGGATTGCTTGCATGACTTCGAAAACTCATTTTTCTTTTTTGGAGTAGCCCGTACGAGCCGTAAAAATCTACTGGTTAACCGCCCAGAGCCCAAATCACTCTTCAAGAGTAACCACTGGAGTTGATCCACATGTTTGCCATTCTTTCACCGCTCTTTCTCATGCATTTTTTTCAGTCTCGAGCATCAAGATAAGCCTCCACTCTGTGGAATCCTGTTGATTGGTTGGATAATTGGAGCCACGAATGGATGGCGCCTATTGCAAATTGACTCGAGTGAATTATGTTCCTCTCGCTATTTGTCGAAGCCTTTGGGGCGCACAATGAATTGTTGGACTGACAAAGTACGTGAGACGTATCGATTTCTGAATATCCCGGTGGGAAAAAATTCATAGTAGCCGCTATGTAGATCCCTCTTTTTTATCTGTGACTTTGAGAAAGGAGGCGATACTTCTACCGCTATCGGGCTCGAAGAGACTGGGACTTGGTCCAGATTCTGGGTTGCTTCAAACAAAACAACAGCTCAGATTGCCGATTTCTTGCAGCATATTCTAGAAAGGCTTCATAGTATCTATCATTTCGCAGAAAAGAATTTGACTCCAAAGAAGAATTCTTTTGTGAAATTGTGTGTTGACTTTGCAACGAAACGCATTTACTAGGAAATGAAGTGCTTATCGACAGCCGTTAAGACTTGTCTTAAAATTATTTTACATTCGAGTTCATACGAAGGTATTTACGCTCACTATTTATTCCTTGCTTGCCGTACAGTTTCTGATCCTACGTAGACAAAGGACTCAGCGAGTGGTTAAAGTCGCTTTTATGCCATGATGAAAATCTCACACTTTGTTTGTTTACCTACGAAAGCCAGCACTCGGAGTTTGTTTCCCGGCTGCAAGTCTTTTCCGCAGAACAAGAAAGCATGTCAGGCATAGAAAGGGAACCTGGACATTTTGCGTCTGTGAGGCATTTCCTTGGTCGACTAGCTCACCACGTTAGGGCGTCTGAAGAGCTAGTCGAAGCCGCCATAGACGTGAGCCACATGGTCCAAACCTTCGACGTTTGCGTCGTCAACTACACAACACCGGTACCTACTCCAGAACCTGACGGACACACCAACCTTCATGATATTCTCAATCGCATGTTACCAAAAGCTTCGAATGAAAATCTCAACATCAAACGCGCACTTTCCGATTTCAACGCTGTGAAAGGGATTTTCTGAAATTTTCCGAAGAAATATCAGCGTATAAGTCCGCAGGTCCATGCGGAGGTTCAGACTCTCGAGTACTTTTACTGAAACCGTTTGACGTTTGCAGAAACTGACCGCTATGTTGCTTGCAGCAAGCCAGCCTGTTTGTGTTGTGAGATGTATTTTCAGTACCACCCTGCTCGAATGGATGTTCCCGAGTCACATCAGAATGTGTGGACAAATTGGGGGCCACCTCTGGTACAGAATTTCTCAAAATCTCATCCGGCAGGCGGGCTGCGACTAGATCTACTAAATAAAATGATCCAAGAAGTTCGTTCACTTGTCATCAATCAAGTACTTCCACAATTTGCGCTTGTTCATGGACATCCTGACTCTGTGACAGGAATTACGGAGATACATTTATTCCTCGACAACTCAGCTCCCGTCATTGTCAGACACCAAAATCCACTTGTTGCATGCCATCCAGTCTCCCGCGATGATATGATCGCCAAGTTCACAAACGCTTCGGCGGAAGGATAGATTGAAATTGAGACCTCGAGAAATGCCGGCGAAGAATGCGACTTAGAGAGTGGAGGGGCTTAGAGAGCGGAGGGGTTGCACTATATGCTTGAAAATTTTGCGAACTACCGATACTGGTAATGTTGATAAAATCATCAATGCTACAAGACTTCTTGAAGTTTTAGAGGACTGAGACTTAAGTACTCATGGTACGTCAGAGCGTGGACAAGTTAGATAAGAGAGTCTATTCGTCACTGCTATCCTGCATATGTTCCATCTTCCTTGCATGTTTTGTAAGATTGTCTTTCCGCGTGAAGGAAGAGTCACATTGGGCACAAGGAAATCGTGCAATCTCCCCCAAATGTTTTTTGGCCCATGGCCTATGGTGGGCTACGACATGCCGACGCATATCCGTTTGTTCTGCTGCGCGATGTAAACAAACCTTACTTGGACATTTCACAGGTTTGACATGTCGCCGAATGTGTCTTCTGTTCGAAATTAGCTAACGCACCAAAGTCATTCTAGACGATTTTCAATACCTCAAACCATATTTTTGATCCCACACCTTCGTTGATTTGCAATCCTGATATATACAACGATACAACCCGTCTGAAGTATCCGTGATATGGTCTAGTGAAGGCATTTCTGCTTCTTCAAACTTGTCCATACATTGAGATGCTGCAGCCAACGATGCTGAGCCACCTTCGTCTTGTGGCTCTTCCGGGTTTCCGGTCCCAGTAGATGCCAGACTCTGCGTATGACCTTGGAATAGATTGATTCCACTAGGAAGCAAGTCCGATGCAGCACTCTACAGAGGCCAATCTTCGGTATGGTTCTCAGTGGGAAGCAAGTGATCCAAGAAAGCAGTATCCATCAAGTCGAAGTTATCGTTTCCCCGTTGATAGGCATATAATGTTGTGTTGGAAGGAAGTGCGGCACCTCCCTCTGCGTCGAAGCTCATTGGAAGATCAGTTGATTCAGATTGGTCAAAATGACGGGTTTGATCGGTCCGAAAGTCGAGAGCAAAATTCGAAATCCACCCCTCGTCATCTTCATCCTGGCCAGGAAGACTGACTTCCATATTCATTGATAGAATCGCGGATGGAGACTGCAGAGTAAGGTACGGTAGGACTGTCGGATTTATAAGGGACACGAGGACGCTTTGCTTGGCAAGTAATGCCAGCATGGATCGCTTTCGTGACCTATCAATCAATCAATCAAAGTTCAATTAACCTGTTGCAGTCTAACTAGTTGCGTATGACTATGCAGGCGCTTCATCCAACTGAAGCAAGAACTCGAGTCCAAGCGCCGAGTTGGGATCACCAAGTATAGTGCATCCCAAGAGTATACAGATGCTGATCGTAAAGAGTGTGGAATCAGCCCATTCCTGTAACCCGTAAACCCACAAACCTATAAACCCATAAATCCATACATAAGAAATAAACATATAATGACTGCCATGGAGTGCACCCTCCATCTTCCACCTCTCACTTCTCACTTCTCACTCTCCCTTTCCATCCTCTGCAACATCCCCCTGCCTCAGTTTCAATTGATGGTGTCGTTCTCCTGGCCAGTTGTTGATTGGCATGTTTGTCGACTTTGGCTGAGTTTCTCGTTCCACAGCATCATCTATCGTCATTGGCTAGTACCCATCGTCTTCCACACCTAGGTCCATTGCCGCGAGGCCTGTCGGTTCGTCGTCGTCGTCCTCGGGTGTCACATACTGGAACTGTTGGAGGAGACCTGTTCGGTGCATGAAGTTGACCACGTAGCGGATGGCCTGCGGGTTAGACATGATCTTGTCATAGTCCATCTCTGTGAATCCGATCCCAATTCTATTTAGCTGCTCCCACAACTTTGTACGCGGAATGACGTATTGCGGACACTGCATAAGAACATGCTTTGGTGTCTGTGAGCCCTCGTCACAGCTGCATCTATCTGTCTCCGCTGCCTTGATTTTGAACAAGAAGTGCCGAAGCCCGATCCTCATTGTGCGCATCTGAATCAGAATTGCACATTGTGGCTTCGACAGTCCTTCGTATAGACGGAGCGTCTTCTTGTTCGGCGCCTGCACTAAGCGCTTCGTGGGTGCGGAAGTTGTCTCCCGCTCCCACTGCTTCTCCCACCGCTCTCTGATTCGCTGGCGTACCGCCCTCTTAGTAGCTGCGGCGAGGCGGATTATCGGTTCACCCGTTCCGCTCCCGGTCGCAACTCCCATCCCCGCAC